TTTACAGCCCTTGTGCCTCAAGTTTCACCCCCTGTAAGACAGAGACAATACCATCTTCTTCACAGGATCCCTGTGAGGCTTTATTTACACTCACAATGTCCTGAGATCCTCAGCAGAGACATTAAAGGATTGCTGCTATTGGCTAGATTTTTCCGTGTGTGGCTGATGGACACATATTTATCTGGAGCCCCTTCAAAAGGGCAACATTTCAAAAGGGCAGCAGCTGTCAGGTTTTACTTGTTATTAGTGAAGAAGCTGAGAACCATTCAAATGTAGCAAACCTCTCCTACTTTAACTCTGCTTCCTCCAGGGTTCAAGTCGGAGCTGTTTTGCTACACTTGAATCGTTCTCAATTTATTCACATGTAACTGCCCTTTCAAAAAGTTCCCCTTTAGAAACAACTCCAAATGTACATGTGTCCACACTAAGCTACAAAGAAAAATCACCCTGCTAGTACACAGGCAGACAAGGTTCTTTGGGTGAATCTGATATCTTTTATTAGACCAACTTAAATAGTTGGGGGAAATTTTTTTTTTATGTCCTTAGACCAACACGGCTACAACCTACACCTCTGCTAGTACACGGCTTTTTCCCTTGGTATTGGTTTTCACAGTCTGTCACATCTTCACAGCTCTGTGGCTTTTCCCAAGGGAAAACTCCTTGGCTGCCTTTTTCTCTTATAGCCCACACCGGAGGCGAGAGCTACACTTTATCCAAGAAGAGGACCACACTCCAAAGATGCACTAACACCAAGAGATTAATTTTCTCCCCCTTGGCTCTCTAGTAACTTGCAGCTTGTCAGCATGCCACTTATGAAGTGCTGCAGTACCCACAAAGAACCTCTCTGTGTGTTACACTGTACAGGGCTTATGCTTTTAAGTTTATTTTTTCCTTCCAAGGTCTGTCTGCTTTGATTTATGAAAATTCGGGACCATCTTTAATTATCTCCCTTGAACAGCTGCCTGAGGCAACATTTGCTAGGAGCTAGACAGACAGAGCATGCAGCCCTGGGCTTTGCATAGCAACATGCTGTGTGGAGTGACCCCTCATAGGCAGTGTGAAGGGCTTAGCTTCTCACTTCTATGATATCTCCCTCACATGCACGCACACACTCAGATGCAGGAGGGGGTCTCTTTTGTAAGGGCACTGTTGCATGCAAATGCTCCAGGATTAGTAGCAATGTGCTCTCACATTAGTTGCAATGACAAAGCCAAGCAGAGCACAGACAGGTTCTGGACAGGCCTTCACCCTGTACCACTGTGCACATAGCCTGCAACCACTCCAGGCGAATACAGCCCTCCCCCAGTCAGTCCTTTGCTGCATCTAAGGCTACTTCTTTAGCTGGTGGGGGTGTGACTGAAGTATGGGAATAAGCAGACAAGGTTCTTTAGGTAAAGCTGATATCTTTTGTTAGACCAATTCAAATAGCTGGAAAAATTCTTCTTTGCAAGCTTTTGGGTACAGATACTCTTTGTCAGATGCTTCCTCAGCCTGACAAGGGGTATCTGTACCCAAAGCTTGCAAAGAAGAATTTTCCCGATTATCTGAGTTAGTCTGATAAAAGATCGGATTCACCCTGAGAACCTTGTCTGCCTATGTCCTTAGACCAGGGGCGGGCAATTAAATTTGGGCAAAGGGCCGCTTACTCAGTTTTGGCAAGCCATCAAGGGCTGCATGACAGGCAGCCCAGGGCACATAAATAATAATTTTCTAAATTTTTGAGGGGCCCTCCAGGCCAAATAAAATGGCCTGGCGGGCCACATCCAGCCCCCAAGTCGCATTTTGCCCACCCCTCCCTTAGACAAACGTGGCTACAACCCACACCCCTGCAGCATGGGTAAGCACCCCCAGCTAGTTCAGGTACTAGGAGTAGTGAAGTCACAGTGGTAGGCATCAGTACAAGGCCACCTGGAGCCCTGGGTTGGAAGGTGGGCTGCTACTCCATGTTGAAAGCCATGCTACCAGGATCCTAAGCTCATTATGCAAGTGAGGCTGAAATCAGCTCTCATCCATATGCTGTCCTCTGAAGGCTGAATGTGCAGTTTACCCCCAGTCTGAGAGGCTGAGATAGCATAGTGCAGCTGCTCTTAGATCCAGTGGTGGGAAGTCCTGCCTAGTCTTCTCCATGGCTGATGGGATCATCCCCAGGGTATGTCTGCACCAAGTGCTGAGGCTTTTGCCTTTCCTATCCCTAGGCCAACCCTGCCATAGCTCATTTAGGACAAGGAAGCTCCCAATGCTTGTGGCTGGGGACACAGGTGACTGCAGATAGCTGAGAGAGCAATGAGCCTCCCAGGGAGAGAAAGTGGAGCACTTCTGAAGCTGACAGTGCAGCACATTGTCGGCACCTTGCCAACAGAACAAAAGGGGCCAGGAAAGCTCTGATAACAACTTACAGATCCCTCAAATGTAAAAAATGTTTAGAGACAAGGCACCTAAGAAATTTCTGAGCATACAAGTTTGTGACTTCCTTGGGTTTGGTTTTAAAAGTAAAGACCTGTATTGGCTCAGTAGTGAACCTGGTACTTCCATTGTACTGCATTAGCTGGATGAGTAACAGGGGCCAGACTTCCAACCAGGTGTGATGATGGTGGTGGCTAATGTCACGCAGCAGAGCATATGCAGTGCTAGGGAAGTAAGTCTCAGCTGCGAGAGGTGGGAGGTGGGTGACAGACACATAAGCCTAGTAGAAAAAAGTATGTCCAGCAATAAAGGCATAGTCCTATTTGGTTGTCAGGTCTAAATTTATAACTCCTAAACAGAGGGCATAATTTAATAGCAAGGAGAGACTTTCTAACCACTTGTGTGATACAACATAAGGAGGAAAATTTCAGAAGCAGGACCCACAGCCATTTCCAAAGATTTTGTCTGACATAAGAGATTATAGGGAAATTATCAGAGAAGCCCTCTGGGATTCAGGGGAGCACCTGGATTTTTGTAGGCAACAGCACCTATTGCCTTTTACAGACCACCTAAAATTGTTTTGAATGAGAAGGGGAAAAGGGGCTCTGCTCCTAAATGGGCATTTTAATGAAAAGAGATGTCCAGATTTTCCATTTTTTCCCCCAACAAAAAACGTTCACTTCTTATTTCCTTCTGAATTCTTTTTCTCTCTAATGACCAAAGGGGGGTAAATTAGAGGGAAAAAATTGAAAACTTGAAAGATTTTTCTTAAATGAGCAACACTGGTTATGTGGGAAAAAGGAGTAAATAAAAAAACAAGCAGTGAGAGCCAAGGAGCAGAAATGAGCATGACCTTTTCCAAATTCCTCCAAAAACCAGCTGTATTCTTCCTTTAGTCAGCCTTTTCCCCACCTTGAAAACCAGAGATATGTTCCTGGCCAGTTGGGAGTTAAAAAGCAGTGCGGGATGGCAGGCGGGTGGCCCCACGCTCCCTCTTCCAAGTAACCCAGCGGGAGAGAATTAACCCCCTGACCGCTGCTGAGGGAGCAGAGACGGGCACGGAGGCCATAGAAGAAACAGGGAGGATTACAGAGCTGTTTTGTTTTTTGTTTCCAATGAAGGAAGCCAGCAATATTGGGGAAAGGACCTTTGATTCGTTTTCTGCTTGTTCTGTTGAAAGCTGCTTGGGAAACACAGGATTTTTGTTTCGGCTCCAGCTGAGGTTCTATGAGCTGTGATACTACTCGCCTCCGCCACCAGGATGGATTTATCCGCAGACAGCATTTTGCTCCTGCCACCTAGGAGAAATGTTACAATCTTTGCATTCTCCCATGCCTGAAGAAGGGTGAGCGTGCCCGAAAGCTTGCAAATAAAGAAGGGGGGGGTTTTTTGCAAGTATCTTGTTGGTCTAATAAAAGATATCGCCTCTGCCCATAGTTCTGCTTCCTTTTGCCTTTAGACCAATACAGCTACAACCTGTATCCCTCTTGCGGAGAGACATTGCTTCACCTGCTTCTCCTGGGAAAGACTGAGGAAGAGGAGTGGCTTCTCATTCAGCGATGCAAAGATGGCCCCGGTGCTGGGAATGAACTTGTGGTGGAAGTAAGGAGGAGGGAGAGGGCTGGTACACTGCCTTGGCAGCTGCCTGCAGAGCAGGAGACAGTGGCTGTCTGTCTGCTGGTTCAAGCCTGTGTGCAAAGCACTGGGATGGCTCTTGAGGCCCCTGTGGCAGCCACCTTCCTACGGCAAAAGCTGGGTGTCCCCTGTGCCATAATGCAAGGAGCTAATAGGTGCTAGTTATACTGTCAGTTGTATCCTAGGGTCCGATCTCGGTAGATCTCAAAGGGCTTTGCAGAGACTGCAGGTGTCATCATCCCCATTTTGCTGAGGGAGAAACCGAGGCAGAGGGAGGAAAAGGCCACTCAGTAGGCCAGTAGAAGAGATTCAAGTCTTGGGCCCTAGCCCAACGTGCTATCCACTGAGCCGTACTACCTCTCCCTCAGGTCTGTGTCACATGTAACCAGGCAGGCGTCCCTTGTGCCAGAGCCGTACAAACAAGTAGGAATAGACACACTCTGATGGTGACCTTTCAGCAGTGAGCATCTAGCTGCCTCTTTGTTCACAGCCCATGCTGGAAATGGTTGTTTTCTGCTCTCCAATCTTTTTTCTGCATATAACTTTAGCTGTGAAAGCTAAAAGCCCTGTCATGGAGGAATTTCCAGGCTCTCCGGACCATTAACCTTCTCACCTGGGTGACATTTGCAGAGCCGGGAGGTAGAGCGGCATCTTTAAACCACATGCAGCAGTCACGAAATGGAAAGGCCTGTTTTCATTACACAATGCTGCTCACTGAGACAGCCAGTACTTCATGTACTGAAAGCTAATGGCTTTAAGACTTTGCTGTAAGTTATTATTGGCTTAATGTTGGGTAGCAAACAGACCAGAGCTGCAGTCATTCCCCTTGGAGAGGCAAACCCTGGGGTAAAGTGCTTTTAAAGGATTACATCCATACTGATGTGTTTCCTTTTAATTAGTCCCAGGAGAACAGACCTTGCCCAATCAAGCCATGAGCTCTAGTCCAGTGTCTGGCTCCCAGCTGAAGCCAGCATTTGTGGTAACAGGAACTGTTGCACTGGGAGAGGTGTGAGTGGGATGTCCAACTGTGCGCAGGCAAGTTTTGGTCATTAATGGAGAAGGTTTGTTGGGAGACCTGGTGGGAGAAAGACCCAGTGATATCCTATGAAGAAGGGGATGATCCTTGGAACATCATGGTGCCATCTGTTCATGGGGTCAGGATCTGCAGAGGAAGAAGCAATGAGGCTTTGAGATTGGGAATTTTCTTGGACTTCCAGAGCTTCATTTCTTAGAGGAAGGAGATGTGTCGCTCTCAATATAGGTAGGTGCAGGCTTGCTGCCCTTCCCCAAGATGGCAGTGCCCTCACTGTACAAAGATCATGTACTCTGCGAACAGCTAGTATGTGCATAAACCTTAGCAGAACAGCGGCTGGGAACTTGGGTAAGAAAGACTCCCTTGTGATATTAAGGCAGGTGGGAGAAAAGAGCAAAAGAAGTGGGTTCATGGAGGCTCCTTCATTCTAGCCCATGAGGATGTTGTGGCCAAGGTTGGCTTTAGCAGGATTGATACTGAACTGGGTCACTAAACAGTGGTTTATGTAGCATCCCAAAGGGATCCCTAAGTAGGTCAAACATGGCCATCTTACTAGTGCCAAAAATAATCTCAGAACTGAGAGCAATGGCTGCCTTCCTAGGTCAGTAAAGTTCACCCGCTCTCCTGCTCACCAGGCAAACTTTCAAAAGCAAATGATGACTGTGGTGATGGACCCAAAATGGACACTGCCAGAGTTACCTCCAGTTATCACACAATGCTGAAGACTTGCCCTCTGGAAATTGTGGCATCCCAAATCACCTCCACAACCTTGGCTCTAGACCATGCTAACCTGCACGCTTCACACTCCACAGCATGTCCCACCTCTCAGCAAGGAGTTAACAGAAGCAAGGATGCTCTGTATTGCAACTTAAACAATTTCCCAGCACAGATCACAGTGCATTATGAGGTACCTTCCAGTCATTAATAAGAGCTGATGAAGTTTGATTTGCTGCATCCATCATCCTCCAGGTGAATAACACATGCAGAGACACACAACACTCCAGGCATCGACATGTTTTATCAGGGTGAAGAACATGCTGCTCTGGAAGAGACTTAGACCTGCTTCTGTGGCAACCTCCATTTTTGGCAGCCAGCACGATGCATACACGCAAGGGGTCATTACAGCGATGTCTTTGGCCAGCACCATATGATAGCACAGGGCTCACGTCTAGGTCTCCTGTAGTTCAGGATGAGATGAGAGTCTCTGCTGTCACTGCAGACTGACACTGAATGCCAACTGTGTCCCACCAGCGTTATTAATGATTCCAGAAAATGCCAGGATGGAGACTGCCCATGTGATGTCTTGCACCCCTGCACATTTGCACTCAGAGCACAAGACTGCACCAGTTTTCCACAAGACCCTGCCTTCATTTGGTGCACTCTGCGTGAGCAGCCACTCAATACTCTGGGTTGTTCTCATTGTTCGCTGTGTGGCCCCAGGGCTTATTTACTGCACACTCATCAAGCTCTGCTCTGGAGACAGATGTATTCATTTACTCTTGGGCTATTCAGCTAGCAGACTGATGAGCACCGCCAAATGCTTCCGCAGCCTCATTAATGAATTAATGTTCACAGCCCTCATTGACTCTGGTTGCTGCTGTGAGTGTGCAATCCCTCTTCAGCCCAATAGCTACTGTCTCAAGTTTGTGCAATTTTTCATTTTCCAGCTGCTTATCAGCAGCCATCCTAGAAATGTCATGCACAGCATCTTTCTCCAAGAGAGGCAGGGATTCCTGTTCTTCAGGGCAGTATTTGGCTGCTTTAACCATGAGATCATCTCCTCCCTTCCTGTGATCCCTACCTCCTTCACCACACATCTTCAAACATCATCGAATGATGAAGCAGGGCTTCTACCAACAGCAGCCCTTGGACGGCCCTGACTCATCCCAGGGCAGGTCCATGCCGTGTGTGTTTATTGAGGTGGGGTCCATCTGGAAAAAAATAGCTTGTGATCAAGTGAGGAATGTATCTTGACACACGTGCAAAGCGGGAATGGGCTGAAATAAGAAAAGCCACCATTGAGGTCATTTTTGTAATCTTAACAGTTGAAATCTCAACTTTGCAGCCTTCATTGGATTCTTTTAATGTCATGTTTGTGTGCAGTTTCCTAATCTCCTTTAAAAAAGACTTCCATCGCATGACATCCTATTGGCACGTGTGATCCTCAGTGGGGCTGTAATCCTTCCCACCATGTTTCTCATCCCAGGTCATTCTCCTCACCTCATTAGCCAGTCTCCGTTTCCACTTAACAGGCTTCTCGTCCCTGCCCAAGTTTCTCCCTTGGAACCTCAGGCCCCCCCAGCCTGCTTCTGATGCCATCTCCACCCCCACTTGCAGCCCCACCAGCCTACAGATCCTCCTGGCTGCTGACGTTGTTCGGTCTGACCCCCTCCCTGAGCTCAGTGTCCCATCTCAGCTCCTGCACCGTGGAGCTGGCATACTCTCTTTCCCCAGTTCTTCCCCTATCCCACAAACATACACAGCAGTTTGCACCCTGGCTCCTCATCATGCCCCTCTGCTTGCTCACCCTGTTAGTTCCCAGTCTTTGCATTCTGGCTCCCTTCCCAGCCCATCACAATCCTCTGCTCAAATGAATGAAGGCTGAGCCCTTTCTGCTCTGATGCAGATCGTACCCATCTAAGGCAGTGGGAAATGCTTATAGGACCAGGCCGGACCTCCCTGGGGAAGTTGTTGCATATCATGGCACTACTGCAATGGCTCTTGTGTAGATGTCTAGCAAAGGAAGGGTGGGGGCTCCGTTTTGTGCCACGGGCCTCCGAATACCTTGTTCTGGCTTTGTCCGCTGGCCTGCACAAAATCCATTCTCCTGCTGTGCAGCACAGCAAGTCTCATCCGGCATTGAGTTTGCTGCACAGAGGGGCCTGGCCTGGACAGAAAGGTGCCACCATTTGCTGTGCCAGTGGATGGAAGCCAACAGTGCTTTGAAAGCTGTGGAAACTTAGACCCCGATCCAGCCTTGTTCCCACAGTGGTAGATCCCCCCATCCCTGCCCCCAGCCCCCATAAAGGAGTAGGACCCACAGTTTAGTCCCAGATCCTGTATGAGGAACTGGTAGCTACTAAATGACTCCTTTTCAATGCCTAGCCCTGGGGAGATGCAGAAGATCTTCAGCTAATGAACGAGTTTGTTAACTAGAGTAAAGGGGGTTGCAGTTGTATATTATGGACCTGGGGTAGGACGCGTTTCATGGCAGCTTTCAGATGATCTCCACTGCTAAGGTTTCATGGAAGCCTTGTTCTGTTTAAATTAACTGTAGTTTAGTTATAAATTAATAATTCCTGCTGCTGGGATTGCTGTGGCCCAAGATGACTTTCCCAAATATCTCAGTAAATAATTCATGCTATTAAATTAGTTGCTTTCCCTGTCCAGAGCTCATTTACCGGCTGTGACTACAAATGTTCCTCTCTTCCCAGGGTCAAGGGTGTGTGGTACAATCCACCATGCACAGGGAGCTAGTGGGCTTTTTCCCTTGATGCTAGAGCTGATTAAGGATATAGATTGACAGAGTGTATTTAATGTAAGTGTCTTTGTGGGTGGGGGGTAGGGGTAAGAGTGGAGGAAAGTAGGGTATATAGTGGAAGCATTGCTGAAATAGATATATGATGTTTCCATGGTATTCTCATCAATAAGCTAAGGAAATATGGTTTAGGTGAAGTTCCTGTAAGGTGAGAGTACATCACAGGTTGGCTAATCAAGCTCAAGGAGCAGTTCTTAGTAGCTCCAGTGGCAAACTGGGGGAGGTATCAGTTTATGTCCTGTCTGGGTCTGGTATTATTAACTATCTTTGCTTAATGACTTGGATAATAGAATTACTGGTAGCTTGTTTAAACATGGGGAAGACCCCAAGTTGGTCCATGTTGCAAGCATTGTAGAGGACAAGGTCAGCACTCAGAGAGACCCTAATAAATTGGAAATATGGTCTGAAATAAATGGGATGAAAGGCAATAAAGAGAAGTGCACACCAGAATGTAAAAAAGGCATGGAAAGTGACTCTTCCTTCCATTCAGCATTGGTAATGCTTTTCCAGGAGCACTAGGTCCAGTTTTGGGTACCATGCTTTAAGGAAGAAGTACACAAAGTACTGTGGAGAACAGCAAGAATTATTAGAGGTCTAAAAAGCATGACATATGAGGAAAGATGGAAAGAACTGGGATTATTCGGCAGTCTTTTCTGAAGACAGGAGGAAAATGGTAAGTCTTCAAATAGAACATAAATAAAGTTGTGGTTATAGGAGAGGCTGGTGATCAATTTTGTTCACTGTTTCCAAGGAGGACAGAAAAAAAATGGGCTTCAAGGGAGCTTTGGGTTAGATATGAGAGAAAATTTTCAAACTATGAACGTGGTCCAAGCACTGGGCAGAGATTACCTAGAGAGGCGGTAGAGTATCACTGGGAGTCTTTAAGTGCAGGTTAGACAATTTGTTCAAAGCAAGGATAGAGTTGATCAATACCAGCGACCACTTTTGAGTCTCTTCCTGTCCTATTTTTCCTCTGATCCATCAGAAAATATCAATTCTCTGAACTGATACCTTTTCACAGACACCTACAGTGACCTTTCCTGAGGGAGCTTTCATGGATATAATTTGGAGAGGAGGACAAGGACACATGGCTCCAAAATCATCATGAACTCAGTGTTTAGGGCACTCACCCAAGACATGGACCTCACATGTCCTGACTACCAGGCTCTTAAGTTCTCTCTCCTTGGCCCAATCAGCATTTTAGCAAAGGTCTCTGCCCTTTGCCGCTGTGAAACAAAACCAAATATTCAAATCTCTGTTTCTCCCTAAACAGAATATTCATTTGCCCATCAAACAAAATGCGGAGCTCTGGGCTTCGTGCATGCACATTTGGGAGAAAGCATCACAGAGCAGGTGTGTCTCCTTTGCTTAAAAATGAGATAGGATCTATATGTCTTTGCATATGGAGATGGACCAAAAGCAGCAAGGACAAATTTGACCTGGGATTCATACTTCCTCAATGTACCATAAAAAGGTGCCCGATCATGTGGGTTTGAGCTCACTTCTAGTATGAATTGAATTATCTTTTAGAAATAGGGATTATTCCATAGTCTTCTCCCCAGCTGTTTGTTGGCTACCTTGCAGGAAAATGCTGAGCGGGAGAGTCGACATCCATGACCTGACCTAATAACAGGCTACACTTCTGAAAGTCTCCTGCTGATAGTCCCTCTCAGCTATAGGTTGGTAATAAACTGCAAGGCCCACTGAAGGAGGGAATCTAGTGCTTGCCTTCAAAAAGATAACTGCATTGTGAATGGCCCAGTGAGACTCACTGTCTAGAAATTACCAGTAAAGAAGGTGGGTGAGCAAGTGTGGGCCTAAACATGGGATGGGCTTTGTTTGGAAAACAAAACTTTTGAGGGCGCTTATATACGTGATGAGGGTTTAGTCCCCTCAGTTGAAACACTGGGCTTTTAATTGCGATGATTAAAAATACACCGATGATTAAAAACACAGGCGGGCTGTTAGCAGGCAGATGCTGCCCCAGCTCGGGCTCAGGGATCAGTTGGACTGGGCTGGGTGCTGCCTCTGAGCTGGGGCAATACCTGTGCAGCTAGCATCCCACCCAGGTGGCCCCAGGGGGTGCTGGCACCGTGGCAGGAAGGACCAGGCTGCGCAGCCCAGCGGCAACTTGCACAGGCAGGCTCTGCCAGGAAGAGAAGTGGCAAGTGGCCCAATCCTTGTTTTTTTCTTCTTTTTTTTTTGCAGAGCCTACTTGCCTCTCCCATGGCTGTGGGGCAAGCTGCCAATGGCCCCTGAGCTGTAGGGGGCCTGATCCTTCCCTCCATAGTGGCAGCACTGCCCCACAGGGCCACCCAGGTGGGTGGCTAGCCTGAGGGTGCTGCCCCAAATCAGAGGCAGCATCCAGCCTGACCCAACTGTTAACCAAGCCCAAGTTGGGGGAGCACCCACCTGGATGGCCCCAGGGGGTATTGCCACCACGGAGGGAAGGACCAGGACCATGGCCCCCTCAGCTCAGGGGCCACTCAGCCTGCTGGCAGCTCACCCCCCAGCCACAGGAGACACAGGCAGGCTCCACGAAGAAGGATCAGGCCCCTCGTCACTTCTGCCTTCATCCTGCCTCTCCCACGAGGGGGAATGGGGTGAAGAGGGAGCTGTCAAAAGGCTGCAAATAGCTACATTGCAAACCAAACTACATGCAGGTGTGGTTTAGTTTGCAATGTAACAAACTTTTAAATCATAAAAAACACCCACACGTGTACAGCGTGATGCAATTAAACCGCAAAAACAGCCAATTTTCATCACGTGTACGAGCGCCGCGAGACTATGGAATGAATCACTACCTCATTCTGCTTCATTTTCCCCAAGTCTAATATTGGGGCCCAGAAGTTTCTTACTGGCTCTGAGAGAGAGTGGGGAATTTTAATTATTTGTAAAGTATCTGTGACAGATGTATACTTCTGAATCACAAAATACTCCTGTGGCTAACATACGAGCATCTCCTACGTCTAACATACTCTAGGAACTGAGCTCAAACCACAGCATCTGCATATTTGAGCCAAAGAACCACTATTAGTTCAGATACGGATCAAAATGTCCTCTCTTCCTGTATATTTAGCTCTCTACTTAAACTTTCTGTCTTTGTTAGGTCAGCCTCAAATATCAAAGAGTTCTCAGAGGGGTCACAAATATTCTTGTTACTCATTAGGGCTCATTCTCCTGTAACGCGCTCTTTTAGATCTTCATCATCAGGTCTGTCCAGGCGTGATCATCGAGGGCAAGACTTAACCAGAACCAGGTGAGAGCTGCATGTTTTCTGAACGTGCTGCAAACTTGGTTGGTGTCCTGCCAGTATGTACTGTAGACACTCTCACACACAACGCCACAAAAGCTATAAAAATAGTTCATTTACTGCTAGGTTAGCATCAGTTA